GTTCCCCCCCCCCTGCTCCCAAGCCCCGGGTTGTCAGGGATGCAAGCTTGGGGTGAGGAGCAGAGAGGACTGGAGGGACTGGACGGGTCTAAACCGACGTAGAGGGGGAAACTGCGAACGTGTTCTCAGCTTTGTTCTGGAAGACACTGAGTTTCCAAAGCTGGAAGCCCTGGATTCCGTGTGGGCGGGAAGTCAAAATCACTTGGTGGTTTTCGCCCAACAATGATTTAAAAAATAAAACACACAAAAGACAAGGGGTAGCTCTATGGAGAGGTTCCAATTTCATCCCCGCTGCTGCCTTCAACCCCATCATCAAGTTGCAGAGTTCGGGGTTTGCATGACGTACATGGAATAACTGCATTTGCTCTCTTCCGCCCTCCATTCGTGCCCTTCCCCCCCCCCAAAAAAAAGTTACCACTTCCTAGTATTCATTGACCAACAGCGATTATTATTCATTTGCATGCCCCTTGCTGGTCAAATACTAGAGGTGATGACTTTTGCAGAGAGTTAATCTGGAACCATACGTGAACAATCAAACTTGAAAGCTGTTTGGTTCAGAATATGTTTGTGTAAGTTCCTTCCAGGGGCTTCTTCCTGGGGCTTGAACTCAGGGCCTAGGCGCTGTCCTAGGGTCAAGGCTAGCAGTCTAACCCTTGAACTACAGCTCCACTTCTGGCTTTTCTTAGTAGTTAATTGGAGAAAAGAGTCTCCTGGACTTGTCCATGCTGGATTGTAACAGCCATCATAGATCTCAGCCTCCTGAGTAGCTAGGATTACAGGCCTGAGTCACCTGGGCCCATGCCTGAAATCCTAGCTATTCCAGAAGCTGAGTTCTGAGGATCACCACTTGAAGCCAGCCAGGGCAGAAAAGTCAGTGAGGCCCTTGACTTCAGTTAACTAGCAAAATGCCTGTGTTGGTGTTGTGGCTCCTCTCTCTCTAAAGGTTTATGAACTGTGTTTCTTTTTCTAGATCAGTTTCCGACCCTTTGGTGTATTTCCATGTTCCACCATGTTAAAGGCCAAGAATCACCTAATACTTTCACCTAAGTACCTGAAGCTCCTCAATCCATCACCAGGCCCCACGTTCACATGGCAGCGACTTCTACACCAGAAACAACCCCTTCACCCAGAATGGGCTGCCCTGGCAAAAAAGCAGCTAAAAGGCAAAAATCCCAATGACCTAATATGGCAAACCCCAGAGGGGATTGCCATCAAGCCCTTGTATTCCAGGGTAGACACAAAGGACTTACCTGACGAATTTCCTGGAGTGAAGCCATTCACACGTGGACCGTATCCCACTATGTACACCAACAGGCCGTGGACCATCCGGCAGTATGCAGGCTTCAGCACTGTGGAGGAGAGCAATAAGTTCTATAAGGACAACATCAAGGGTAGGGCTTGAGGGACAGGTGTAATTCCTCATGACAAGACCTGCACCACATGATCTTGACTTTCTGAGGGGAGGGTGGTTAAAAAAATCTTGGTACAGATGACACTAACTTTATTACTTTATAGTTAATTATACGTTAAAAGATTTTCAGCTTCTACACTCAAAGATGAGTGAGAAAAAGTGTAAAATTCTTGATAGAAAAATCACACTTTACATCATACAAGAGGAATTAGGTGAAGAGAAAATACACGGACTTTGCCTTTGCTTTGAAAAGCTTCTAATTAGTATTATTGAGGTAGCAACTGGAAAAGTTGGTTTAAATGGTGCCCAAAAAAAGTAATACATGGTAAAGTGGTTCTGATATGTACAGTGCAATCTAGCATTCAGTTCTCTGGAAACTATATTTGCTAAAGAGTAAATATCTTTTTTGTATATAGTACAGTCATATCGTTTGATCACTAAATTTGAAGATTTGTAAGTTTGAACTGCCTGTGTAGGACTGAACTTCTACTTAGTGTAGATTATTGCTTATTTCAAAAAGTTTGGATAAGAACTGGGATTGCTCAGTGGTAGAGTGCTTGCCTCCCATGCTGTAGGTCCTGAGTTTGCCCTGAGCACCATGAAAACAATTGAGGGGTGGTATTCATAATTCTGTGTCCCAGAATATTTGAATAGTCAAAATTAAGATCATGTTAAAGAACAAAAGTAAATAAACACACAAATGCACAATATTATTGTAAGTTTGTGAACAGGCAGATCATTCCGTGAAGTTTTGAAATATTGTCAAAAAACTTAGATTACAAAGCCATAATGATTTGGTGCTTGAACCTATACAATAAATCCACAGACAGACATGAGAAAGTGAGGTGTTGTGTTCTTTCTATTCGTTTTCATTGCTACAGTTCTCAATTTGTACACTTGCATCTTGGGAAAAACTGAATCTAAAGAAATTAATTACCTGTATTAAAATTTGTTTTCATATAACTGAGCATGAAATATTATAAAAATATACTATGATGCAACGAGCCGCTGCTTTTAGTAGTCTTAATGAAATCAGTTTACTTGGATGCTGTTTACTTGATGTCGTTTTTCTTTATATATTTAGCTGGTCAGCAGGGGTTATCAGTTGCCTTTGATCTGGCAACACATCGTGGTTACGATTCAGACAACCCTCGGGTTCGTGGTGATGTTGGAATGGCTGGAGTTGCTATTGACACTGTAGAAGATACAAAAATCCTTTTTGATGGAATTCCTCTAGAAAGAATGTCAGTTTCCATGACTATGAATGGAGCAGTGATCCCAGTTCTTGCAACTTTTATAGTAACTGGAGAAGAACAAGGTGTACCTAAAGAGAAACTTACTGGCACAATCCAAAATGATATATTAAAGGAGTTTATGGTCAGAAATACTTATATTTTTCCTCCAGAACCATCCATGAAAATTATTGCTGACATCTTCCAGTATACAGCAAAGGTATACATTGTAACTTACCTTGAGTTTTGTAATTGAATTTGGGTAATCATTCTAGTATAAAGTCTGGGAAGTATATTGTTAATATTTAGGTTTTGTCTTTAGTATGGTAATTTTATGATCTTCATTATCTGGACAGTATACATTTGCTGTATTTTCTTTGTTGTTTAATTCTTGATAATTGCTAAAATCAAGGAAATTCACAATTTTTACTTCTTTATTTTCCTCCATAATTCAGATGTAGGCACTTTAGACATTGATGTTAAGATAGAGATGAAGACATCTGTTTTATTTCTTCTAAAAACTGAATTAGGAGATACCACTTAACGTCCATATTCTCACTAAGGTTGCTTTCACTCTGAATTGGGCACATCTTTCCTTATCAAAGCAGTGTGAGAAGGAGAATCTTACTCTGTTCCTAAACAGAAGCAGGAGTCCCCCAACAGACACACATTCTCCCCTTCCTCCTTCATTTTCCTTTGAGCAGTTCATACCCGTTTGTCTCCATTGTTCACAGTTTTCTTCTTGCTTAGCAATGTCCCCTTTTGCAGCACCTTAACATTAGACCATAATTTAGTAGCAAGGAGAAATTCTCTGTCAAGTGAATATTATTTACTCCTTGTATTAGATTTATGCATGTCTAGATTAAGGCAAAGTTATAATGAATTCTTGTAAGTTGAGAGTACTGTTTTCAAAAGAAAGATATCTTCAGTTAGTCCTCAAAGGTGGTTGATACAATTTTTTTCCCCACTGGAAAACTACATAATTTTAATAGTTCATGGATCCACCAATCATGGAGTGAGTTAATTAGAAAGTCTAATTTGGGTTGAACTTGCTTTTAGAAATGGGTTTAATAGAACCTTTTAGTATTTTTATTCACTGTTTTCTCTTTTATTTTTAGCACATGCCCAAATTTAATTCAATTTCAATTAGTGGCTACCATATGCAGGAAGCAGGGGCGGATGCCATCCTAGAGCTGGCCTATACGCTGGCAGATGGCTTAGAGTACTGTAGAACTGGACTCCAAGCCGGCCTCACAATCGATCAGTTCGCACCAAGGTGAGTACATATTCAGAAGCAGCACAGGAGCAGCTAGACACACTGGTAATGTGAACTTGTCTGTATAAATGTCATGTTAGATTTTGATGGCTTTACTGTGTCTCCAGCTACTTGGAGAACACAACGTGCACATTTTATACATTGACATATGAATGTAAGGCTCAGAGACATTCATATATTTTTTTTTCTTTTGAAAACATAGATATCTTCTCTCTGATATAGTGTACATGGAATACAGTGCTATAGAAGCCATTTTGTTTCCAAACAGATTGTTAAGAAAGGGGTATGAAGATTATGAAGTACTTAAGGGTAAAAAATTTCAAGCCAGAGCTCAGTCAACTCAGCAGTTCCTTGCTTGCCCTGGGCCAAGCAGGCTTGTACATGCTGTTAGTACACAGTGAGACCTACCTCTGCCTTCAGAGAGCCCAAGGACAAGGCTGCCCCTGGAAGCCAGGTTATGCACGCTTACAAATGACTGGCCTCAAAGTCCTAGGAGTCCTAGGACGCCTGTGCATTACTAAGGCCTTTAATGTCATCTCCAAGGTCAAAATGTTTTCTGTCTATATTGAGCCCTTTTCTTGCCTTTTCATTTTCTTTTATCTTTTTTCCTTTTGGCTATACTGGCATTTGACTATGGGGCATTGTGCTTGCCAGACAAGCACTCAACCATTTGAGCCACAAAACTAGGGCTCTCTGCTGAGCTTATTTTTGAGATAGAGTATGGAAGTCTTTTTCCTGGGCTTGGCCTCTATCCAGCTTGGATTACAGGTGTGAAGCTCCATACTAAAGCTTGCTTTTTTGAGATGAGGGCTCATTGACTCTGGCCCCAGGCTAGTTTCAAGCCTGTCTTCTTATTTCTTCCTCTTGGTTGTGGGATTACTGGCAGAGTAGTATACCACACCTTCATAGGCAACCCTCACCTTGCATGGTGATTGGTATTAAAATACTTTTATTTTCGAAAATGAAACATTCTTTAAGTACACAAGAAGAGAGTCTGTCTAGAGAAAATCAATTGCAAAATGAACATGCTTACTAGAACAGTCAATCACAGCTGTTTCTCTTGCAAACATGGAAATATACTTTCTCATTGTAGGTTTACAGTAACTTAAATACATATGCCTTGCTTTTAATTCAAATTTAGTTGATTGATTTTAAAATCTGGACATTTTTCCCCTAATCTGTGATACACATAGTTAATTGTCTTGTCTGTATTTTTACATCTGAACAAATTCTGGACTTTGTGTTGCTATTTTAGGTTGTCTTTCTTCTGGGGAATTGGGATGAACTTTTACATGGAAATAGCAAAGATGAGAGCTGGGAGAAGACTGTGGGCTCACTTAATAGAGCAAATGTTCAAGCCCAAGAACTCTAAATCTCTTCTTCTAAGAGCTCATTGCCAGACCTCAGGATGGTCACTTACCGAGCAGGTATATTTGTGTAATTTAAAAGAATATTAATGAGAAAAATAAGTGTCTTCTTCTAAGCAACATGGCATGGTCAGGGAGCAGTTTAGCAACCAACCTAACATTTAAAAATCATAAATATACAGAAGCATAGTGCATACTTGTCTCTGTCACACTTGTTGCGTGTATGAAGTTGGTGCCATCTAGTGGTTCACAGTATAAAATCATTTACATCATAAATGATTTCCATGGTAAATAGATTTTTTACTATTTAAAACATAAAAAAAGTTGATGATAAGCAAGAACAAAAATTTCAATTAATTTTCTCTTATATAATTTTAAAAGTATAATCCTTGCCTAAAACTAATTTAAATTATATCTACTCGTATAATGTATTATACAAATGTATTATACAAGTAGGTTAATGATTTATAAGTATGAAGCTACATGCTCTTCTACATTTCAAAGTGAATAAAAATGAATAGGCTGTACACATAATGCACTTTAGTCCTTCATGAATGAAGTAGGATTTTGAGGTTGGAAGGAACTTTAATCCTTTCGCATCTTAATGCACTTAGTTTTACAGCTAAGGAAGCTGAACAAAAATCAGAAGACATTTTCCAATCAAGTAGGAATACAGTGAAGTATAACCCCAAATTTCCATCCTACAATTTACTGCTCATCTGTCCCATTAACCGTTCACTGAGTGCCCGTTTGGTACCCTTTGGCTCTTGGGTTTTGTTTTGCTTTCCTTTACAGAAGATCTCCTTCTGTAGGCCAAGTGCACGTGTAATTTTCTGTGTAGCCCAGATGTCCTCAAACCTGGATCACCTCTTCCCTCAGCCTCCTAGCACTGGGACTACAGACATTTGCCACTGTGTTTGGCTGGCTCCTAGTTATTCCTCTTAATCCTGCTTAGTCATTTGTTTGAGTTTATTTCATAATTTAAAGCTTAGTACCTGTGCTAAGTTATCTGTAATCCCTGCTTCTTTAACTAAACATTTTAGGATCCTTATAATAACATTATCCGGACTACAATAGAAGCCATGGCAGCTGTGTTTGGAGGAACTCAGTCTTTGCACACAAATTCTTTTGATGAAGCTCTGGGTTTGCCAACTGTGAAAAGTGCTAGAATCGCGAGGAACACACAGATAATCATCCAGGAGGAGTCTGGGATCCCCAAAGTGGCCGATCCTTGGGGAGGGTCATATATGATGGAGTCGCTCACAAATGATGTTTACGACGCTGCTTTGCAGGTCAGTGTCCCTCTTTACAACCTCACTTCTAAGATGGAGAGAGTCATAAAGGTCAGTAGGCCTAAAGAGGATGTATAAATCACTGATGTATAAGTCTAATCAGTTTAGACATAGCAAAGTTTGTAAAATGTTTTAGGAAAAAAGATTTAGATTTGAGTAGGCTTCAGTGCTCATATCTGTTACATACAAATTGTATTTCTGCAGTTATTTTGTTCAAAGAGTTGAAAAGCCAACTAGTATTACAAAGCTTATGCAAATAAGGGATTTTTTTCTATTTCTTGTAATAAGCTATATTTTTCTTTCTTTTTCATCTACATAATTTAAAGTCACACATGTGTACTCTTGTCTGTCAACCCCATGTGACAGTTTAGAGTTTTGGTGGATTCATACCTCTAGTTTGCCTTTTCCTACCAGTGCAGTTGTATTCACTACACCAATTTCATTAACATTATTAGAAATTTGATATCATTCTATTTGTAATTTTATTTCTACTACTAATACTTATATAGCATTTAGAACTAATTGGCATTTGACGTTTTCATATTCTTTTTCAGCTTTATTGATACGTTTTTCTTTTTAGCTCATAAAGGAAATTGAAGAGGTTGGTGGAATGGCTAAAGCTGTGGCAGAGGGAATCCCTAAGCTTCGAATTGAAGAGTGTGCTGCCCGAAGACAGGCACGGATAGACTCTGGTAAGAGCAAGTCAGAAGTTAGAGATGAAATCAGTATTCCAAAAGAACTGTTCATTCCTGTCTGAAGATAACATCTATGACTAATGGACACTAAGTTAAAAGAGTAAAAAACAATACAACGAAAAGAATGGAAAAATGGAGTTTTGTTGAAATCTTCTTATATCTGTATCCATATGTGCACATTTTTGCATGCATGAATGAGCACAGGCAAGCATATGTACATCTGTGTGTGGACGTATCCTCTTCACACACACATATACAGGTGGACATTCCCAGTGGCACTGGATGGTGTTCGTGCTCTAATGAGTATATTCAATCAGTGAATATTATTTTAGTAAGTTATATTTGAGGCATTTACTATTCTGGGCATGCAAATGTGAACAGGACTGATGTAAGCCTGTACCCCTAAAACTTCAGAGTATAGTGAAGGAGGGAAAATAAACAAGAAAACAAAATAATTACAGATCAAATTAAGTATGGTAGAGGAAGGAAGAGGAATATCAGCGGGAAAGAGGTCCTGGGTTGTTTTTAGATAAGAATAAGAACCTAATAGCTTGATTGTGTAGGTAATTTGTCTTCTGTTTAAAAGTGATTGGCTATAAAAGAATACAAGATCTGAGAAAAGCTATTGTCAGTTCCTTCACTACCATCTAAATCTTATATGGCACCTGTTCTGCTTGTTCTCAGAGAAGGCTTAGCAGAGACTTTAGGCAAGCTTGTAGCAGGGGAAACAGTAAAAGTCACCCTTATAGAGATTCCAATATGTAACTGTTGATTCTTTCATCCCAGCTGATCTATAACTGAGGTGTTCATGAAAGTTAAGAATAGTATTTAATCATATTAAACTGTTAAGGAAAATCTATGATAATCATAGGGCTATCAGGCAATGATTTTGAATAGGATCTACATATGATTTCCCTTTGGGAAAATTAACAGGTTCTGAAGTAATTGTTGGAGTAAATAAGTACCAGCTGGAAAAGGAAGAAACTGTAGAAGTTTTGGCAATTGATAATTCTTCAGTGCGTAAGAAGCAGATTGAAAAACTTACAAAGGTATTAACTTACTTTATAAGAATCTCCTGTGTTCTAGGCACTAAGTTTACATTGTCCTTCTAAATCTTTACAACAGCCACATGAGGTGAGTATTATTTCTCAGCATTTAAAATTAAGAAATTGAGAAACATGCTTATGATAAATAACCAAACATCCAAGAGCCAGCCACACCTTATGTGATTTAAACCATAATATCTACCTTTGTGAAGCTCATATTAGTGTTCAAAACCACAATGTAGCTGGGCACCGGTGGCTCACACCTGTAGTCCTAGCTACTCAGGAGGCTGAGCAAGATCTGAGGATCGCAGTTCAAAGCCAGCCCTGGCAGGAAAGTCCATGAGACTCTTATCTCTAATTAACCACCAGCAAACCAGAAGCAGTACTGTGGCTTAAGTGGTAGAGCACTAGACTTTTGCTGAAGAGCTGAGGGGACAGTATCCAGGCCCAGAGTTCAAGCCCCATAACCAACAAAAAACAAAACAAAAAACCCATGATGTAATCACAAGGCCTCTCACAGTTTACATGATGAGAACTAATGCTCAGATGACTGTTTACGTCACTCAAAATGAAAACAAAAGGAAGTGTAGAGTCAGTATTTGAATTTAAGGCTTCTTGATGTACTTTCTTTCCCACTTTATCAACAGATCCAAGATAAGACTTTTCTTCCTCAGTTGAAATGCTGCATAAAATTCTAATAGACTTTGTCCCATTAGATTGAATGCATTACTGTCATCATCTGTTTCTTAAATTAGAGTTAATGACAGATGTGTCATGTTATTTCCACTTTCATTCTCATTAAGGAATAGTGATTCTTCTATCACATTTTGTCATTTTTTCAAAAAGCCTTAGTTAGCCTATTGTATTCTGTTATCTTTGACCACAAAAACCTGTTTTTATTATGTTTGGAAAATTCTTTCTCTCCTCCGTCATACATTGTAAGTACTTTTTAACTCTACACATTCAATCCAACTGATTACACTTGACATAAATGATGCCTTATTTGGGGCAAGAAAGAAAAATTCAACAGTGACCCTATAGGAATAATTGCTGGTACTTACTGCATACTTTTATGTACGCCATCCTTTGTTAGGTTTTCTAACATTGCACATTATTTCATTTTTTTCTAGATGCTTGCTTAGTTCTGATGTAACTTTTACTAATACTGAACCTGAGCATGACCATGACCAAATCAAACTTCTTTTATTATTAACATTAATTACCACCATGGACATAAAAATATTTTTATACCAAAAGGTATTTCAGTTGTAATCCTGCAATCTTTTCAGTACTGAGATGAAGTTTAGATTTTTTCATGTCTTTTACAAGTGGTTACAGCAATAGTTTCACATGAAATGTTAACATATTTTTCCTAAACTAAACCATTTCAACTTATGGTCCTGCTGGTTTTTGATTTGTAAGGTTATACAGGGTTAAACTGCTTTTGGAAATGCTTAGTGAATGAAGTTCTGCATGTTAGTTTCTTCATTTATTCCCTCTTTTTTGCAGTTTAGTAGATGATGGAAGAGCCTCAGTACAACATGTGTCAGGGCTAACGTGTGTGTTAGTCTCCTGATTGCTTGTTTACTCCTCTTTCACACCAACTCTCCCTTTCCTTGACTCTTCCCATAAGATCAAAGCCAGCAGGGACCAAGCTCGGGCTCAGCGGTGTCTTGAGGCGCTCACCCAGTGCGCTGCCAGTGGCGATGGGAATATTTTGGCTCTTGCTGTGGATGCGACTCGTGCAAGGTGAGGAGAGTTTTACACGCTGCGTATTTGGCGTTAGTGTGTAAATACTGCATGCTTAGACTCTTCAGAGTCTACTGAGGCGAAAGGCTGATCCTCTAAACCACGTGACCCTGAAGAGCGGAAAGGAAACTATAATAAATTCAGTTCCTGTTCTCAAATATCTGAACATTTGAAACATTCATAGATGTGCATTGCACATTTCACTGTGGCAGCACATTTGATGCTATTATAATAAATACATTTTACTGATGTTCAGGTTGAAACTTAACGTACTCAAGCATATCATCAAGGTTATATGTTCTATTTTGATATAAATAGCCTTTCATAAGGGAGTGGCAACGCTTATCTGAGAATTGACAAGAATGCCTTATGTCATCTCTTCTGAATTATTCTAACCATGAACACCCCCAAGTCCTTTTCCCTTGTTGAGAAAGCCAGAGAGGCTTTCTAAAGTCAAAAGTAGCCGAGGGGCCATTAGGAAAGGGCAAAGGGATAAGGGGTGGAGATCAAGAGGACTTTTTTCAAATGTATTTCCAGTCTCTTTGCTCTTGCCGCCATCTTAGCCTGCTTTATTTGGTTTTCTTCTGGTCTTACCAAGTTCAGTATTTGTATTAGCCTTCATTTGTATTAGCCTTCAGATACTTGTCTATTTGTAATTGTTAGGTTTTATTTTTGGTTGGCAGATACTGAAAATAGATGACAGTGTATAAAGGTATCCAGAATCACTTTTGCATAAGTATTCTGAAGGAAGATGCTTTTCTATATAGTTAAGCATTTGTTCTTTAAGTTTATGACAGCCCATTTTACTTAAGTAATGAAATATTTCTTATTATATTGACTACTAAGGTAAATAAGTATCTTTGCAAATAATGCTCTCACCAGAATTCCCGTGTAATATTTTAGGTGTACAGTTGGAGAAATCACAGATGCTATGAAGAAGGTATTTGGTGAACATAAAGCTAGTGACCGTATGGTAAGCGGGGCATATCGCCAGGAATTTGGAGAAAGTAAGGAGATCTCATCTACCATCAAGAGGTGAGATTTCTTTCTCTTTAAAATTATTTTATTATCCTTCAGTAGTTATACAAAGGGGTTACCATTCAACAGTAAGAATTTTTAAAACTAGAAAAAGAAGCTAGTTTTTAACATCTGAAAGATATCATCAATTATTCTATATTTCCATCTTATCTTGTGACAGTACTACATATTGTAAGTTTGGTGAAGATTAGATCGATCCATAGAGAGAGATAGATTGATAGCCAGACTTTTTAAAAGCCACTATCAGGGCTTAAACTAGAGTTTCAAGCTGGCTCAGATTGCTTGCTTGACTGGCACTCTACCTCTTGAGGCATGTTTCTAATCCAACATTTTGCTACTTATTTTGGAGATGAGGTTTCTCATACTTTTCCACCAAGGCTGGTTTTGAATGACAATCGTCCAGGTTTCATCTTCCAAGTAGCTAGGATTGTAGACATGAACCATTCAAACCCAACTCTAGAAGTTGATTTTTTTCAACCTTTGTAATAAGCTTCCTTCTAAAACTTTAGAGTTAATACATATGTATGTAATATACATGTACATATAGATGTATATATTATGTAATATGTAAATGTATATATACATATATCTTAAAGCAGACAAGGTGAAAAACAAGTTCTTTTCTTTAAATAAAAACTGAAGTAGTGCTTTTTCATGTTTTGTTTCAATTTGTCCTTGAAAGCAGGAAAGTGTTTTGAGTATATGTCATTATAAGAATCCACACTGTAGTTGTTCACACTTTGGAGGGCACATTGGGTGAGGACAGTCACAGCTTGGTATAAAGGACTGGAAAGCACTTAACTAAGTTTGCATATTGTATGTTGCTCAAGAAGAAATGATCATTTTTCTTTCATCTTTCTTTACTGATGTTCTCAGTGTGCTCAGCTCAGAGTTGTGTCATCTCCCAAATTGGCTTCCAAACAGGAGAGAGTTCAGTTCAGCCAGGCTGTAATGGTGCTCTCAATTTAAACTAAAAAATGTTGACAGAATACAAGGAAGCAGATTGTGACTAAATTACTTTTGAGTAGTTACATTTAACTGTTGTCTTTTTAAAATGTTTCTTAGAGTGAATAAATTCATGGAACGAGAAGGTCGCAGACCTCGTCTTCTTGTGGCAAAAATGGGTCAAGATGGCCATGACAGAGGGGCCAAAGTCATTGCGACAGGGTTTGCTGATCTTGGTTTTGATGTGGACATTGGCCCTCTTTTTCAGGTACTAACAATTGCTGGGAGAAGTCTCAGGGGATACCACAACTCACATCTGGATAAAGTAGAAAAACGATGCCAGGATGATGCTTACAAGTTATTAAAGCACATGAGCAATACATTCTGTTTTTCAGTGCATGTGTTAGAAGTAATTATGAGAGAAATAAAAGTACAATGAATGTGGACTCAGACGTCGTGATAGTAAATACCAGCTCAGAAGTATAATTTTTACTAGGCTTTAGAAACTGGAGTTTTACTCTCAAAGACTTTATTCTGAGAGTGACGCGTGGTTTATGGGAGTGTTCACATGGGGTTAGTAAGAAGAATTTGGAAAGGAAATTGAATTGCAGAGTAAACCTAACCCATAAGAAGGGTCTTTGCTCACTTTATCATAGTATTTTAGTTACAGAATATTGGACACAGGCATTAATTTTTTATTGCCAAAGGGAATGGAAGTTGTTCACAGAGTGATAGTATACTCTACAACATACATCTTTAGCTGAAAATACATTTGAATAAATTCCATACTCTGAGCTTTATCTGCCTCGTGTGCAGTTCTATGCCAGATGTGAGTAAGATGAGGTTTTGTTCCCAAGGAGGTGCCGGCCTCCTAACAGACTACATTACTAGCAATCACAACGTAGTATGATTGTTACTGTAACTCTAACATGGACAAGGAGCGACTTTGGTTCTTTCAAGTATCATAGGAACCTTTGAACCGTAACTTCCGAAGCCTGGAACAAATTAGGCAAGGAGGGATGGCTGGGCAGAGTTAGAGAGCTGTAAGAAGGCATGATGTCCTCAGGTTACTGTAAGAGTAGCGTTGGAATGTGTGCTTCACCAAGGGTTGAGATTGATAGCCTTCCGCTCCATCCCAGTGGTTTGTGTGTGGGTTTGGCAACACAGTCCAATGTATACTTCAGAAAATTCACTTTCTGGTAAAACTGTGTGACAAGAGCTGAGAGCAGCTGTAGCTAGATGCACAGGGAGTCTAGTTAAGATGCCCAGGAATCCGGATGAGAAACAGTGGAAGCCTCTCCTAAGGCAAGGTCAGACCTCAGGAGTAAAATGAAAGAATATGTTGTTTTCTCTTACGAAGTTTGATTTCACGTTAATGTTTCTCGCAGAGTCAGGGTGCTTGCTAACATGCGGTATGAAGTTTCTCCATGTCCATGCATGTGTCCCCACTACCTGAACAAAGAGGCACAAAAAATTAACAGATGGATGCTTTTTCTTAGGTACTTTAGACAGTGGTCCTGAGGTGTGATGTTCTTGCTAAATTCTTACATTTACCATGAGGAACTTGTACACTTTAGCCTTTTCTGTGAAGTAAGTTAAATACATAGGCATTGGCAAAGCAGTATGAGAAAGCATTAGTGCTCAGAAGAGATAGACTCTTGGGTGAGTACTAATTGAGAACTTCGTGAAAGTTCCCACATCCTGTAAATGGGTGTGAAGCTCTTCTCATTGTCACACACGCACCTGCGTGCTGTGACCCCGGCCTTACTTCCCGTGCTTTCACGAAACCCTTGGAGCCCACATCCTGCTGCCAATTGGGTGTATTTGTAGAATAACCAGAGTCTAAAGTTTCTTGCTCCTCACCATACTGGAAGCATTGTTTCCCATTCACTTTAACTTTTAACTTTCCCACCGCTGCTGTATCATAGTGCTTTACAATGTTGTCACTCAGTGTCAGTTGATAATGAAGTCAACAGGTGTAATGGAAAGGATTCTACTTCCATGCATTCTTTGTCTTGAAAATTCCTCGGGGAATACTTTTTGGTATACTTCTGGTGCTAGGCACACAACCGCATGGACAGTGTTTGCATCAATAGTTCAGTGCTTTTTGCAATTTTAACAGCGATGAAATACGGAGTGATACCCACACAAGAAGACTGATTTTCCTCGTGGCTAGCCAGTAGCAAACTGTGCTTTGTCTTTTTCCAGACTCCCCGTGAAGTGGCCCAGCAGGCTGTGGATGCCGACGTGCACGCGGTGGGGGTGAGCACACTGGCCGCGGGCCACAAGACCCTTGTGCCCGAGCTCATCAAGGAGCTTGCCACCCTCGGACGGTCCGATATTCTCGTCATGTGTGGGGGCGTCATACCACCACAGGTACCTTCCTCCCAGCGCTGCAGTGGGTATTCAAAGCAATAATGGCTTAGGTTGAGTTGTAAAACTCGATTTAGAGGAAAATTATTATTCCCTTGTGATTTTACTAAGTAAATTCTGCAGAGAGCGGAGATATTTTTGACACATTCTTTTTTTTGTTGTTGTTGGTCATGGGGCCTGAACTCTGGGCCTTGGCGCTGTCCCTCAGTTCTTCAGCTTAAGGCTAGTGCTCTACCACTTGAGCCATAGAGCCACTTCAAGCTTTTTCTGTGTATGTGGTGCTGAGGAATCGAACCCGGGCCTCATGCATGCAAGGCAAGCATCCTTCCATTCAGCCACCTTCCCAGCCCGAGCAGAGTTATTTTTTACCAGAGCTATATTTTGATCCACAATGTATTATTTAACATAATAGTCTACACAACCTGTAAGAAAACTTAAGTCCATGCAAACCAGTAACTTGTGATAGATGTCTTTGTTATGTTCAGTAAACAGTAGTGGAGAAAGAACAAGGGGAAAAGGGAAAGACCTCACAAAGAGAGCTGCTCATGTAGCGAGCATGTTCAGCCTAGCGAGAGGCACAGTGAGAACTCTCTTTCTTGGCTGTGTAGCAAGCATTAGGAAGTTTGCTTTTGTTCTCAACCAGCTATCTTGTCCAAGTTCTCCATACTTCAGCTCTCCCCTACCTCAGAGATACAGCAGTTACAGTACATGGTTTTGTAAAAACCCATTTATTATTTTAGCTAGTTTGACTTGAAGTAGCGCTTGCTTGTGGACAAAGATGCCTTAATGGCAGCCAGTGGAATCAGCTCATTCTGAAAAATTACAGGCTGAATGGCGGTGGGAGGAGGGACTTGAACACTGTGGCTCCTCTTAGAGAAGAAGAAGCAAGGCTAATAACCCTCAGTGGTGTCAGTTAATGTGTGAATCGGGTAGGGGGACACTGCCCACATACTTGAGTTCTGGTTTTTACAGAACTTTCCTACACAAGGGTCAATTTCCAATCCAGTCTCCGATGACACCAAGTTTTCATTGTTTTAACTGAAAAGTGGAAAAAGTGTTGAGTTGGAAGAATTGTAGCAGATGTCAGGATAAGTGGGACATACGGTTCCTCAAGAGGAGTAAAGAAGATAACCTGTCAGCCAGCCTCTCCCCAGCATGTAGCAATTGTTACTACACGTCTTATTGGGTATTCTTCTGAGACTTCCTCTTGCAGTCTGCAGCACCTGCTCAAGGACAGTGAAACATTCTGAGTGTCTTCTACCATAATCTCAGCTCTCAGAAACTCAAAGGACAGAGGGGCAATCAGATGTATTAAATGTCAGTGCAAAATAATACTTTTGCATGAATACCACAAAGCTATACTAGAGATAGACGGGAATTATTGGAGGATGTTAGCATGCCTATAGACTTTATCGTCTGTTATGATCACCTGAGAATGCAGATTGGATGTTTTTTAGCAAAGGTGCTGCCCAAGTCTGGGTGAGTGAATGGTAGAGCACTTGGGTCTAAGCACTGGGTCCTGGGTCTGGTCGCCGGCCACCCCAGCAGTGGGGTGGGGAAGCAGAAATTGGACATCTGTGCTCTGCTTTCTCCCCAGCTCCACTTGACTCCTCCAAACTAGTCATTCCACTTTTTTTAACCCGCGCACTCTGCCTCTGCCCCTTCATGTAGCACACATATGTACGAGGCCGAGTTCGGGGTGTCACCATTCACTACCTGTGCACACACCCGGGAGGAAGTAAAGAGCCTGGCAAATGCGAAGCTATAGCACGATGCTAAATTTAACCTGACCACTGGCAGGTGGTGAAAATAGCTGAGTCTACCACACAGCTCACAGGGACAGGGCCTGGTGGTCTCATTGGCCTGCAGGCTGAGGAACGGGCCACGGGTGATGGGTAGTGGTCCTGAAGGAGTACGTGCTAGCCACATCCTGTGAGTTCATCTGTCTTCCCGCAGGATTATGAATTTCTGTATGAGGTCGGGGTCTCCAATGTATTTGGCCCTGGAACTCGAATCCCAAAGGCCGCCCTCCAGGTGCTGGACGACATTGAGAGGTGCCTGGAGAAGAAGCAGCAGTCCGTGTGATCAGAGAAGAGCGTGAAGCCAGGTCTGCAACTTGATCCCAACACCTGATATGTACTTTCTTTGAACGCTTTACATTAAAATGTCATATTGCAAGAATGGTGTCCTATGATAAATGTGTATGTACAGCCACACTCTGATTTAACTACAACAAAGTGTTTTTTAAAACCCTCAAGAGAATACAAAACATGTTTTGGAAAATTATAGTGATGTATTACTTAGAAATACTTCCTACAAATCGACTTGACATTTGTTTTACAAATTCAGTTTACCTAAAGTGACCAGTCCACATTGATTTGTGCAACACAAAATAAAATTAATAGTAATATTAATACAATAATAACCTTTAAAAATAATTGAGAACTGGACACTGGTGGCTCATGCCTATAATCCTAACTACTCAGGAGGCTGAGATCTGACTATTTACATTACAGTTTGAAGCCAGCCCAGCAGAAAAGCCTGGGAGACTCTTAGCTCCATTTACTTAAAAAAAAAAAATGCTGGAAGTGGAGCTCTGGCTGAAAGTGGTAGAGCACTAATCTTGAGCACAAAAATAACTGAAGGCTAGCACCCCGGCCCTGAGATCAAGCACCATGAATGGTGTGCACACGTGCACACATGCACACACACACAAACAGTGGAGAAAGATTGTGTTGAACAATGAAGTATACTTGTTGTCCTCAGCTAAACTCTACCAGAATTACCTTCATGAAGGTATTAAGTTGGTTATAAAGCTTGGAATGAATATTTGTTTAAGGCATAGTTTACTTTTAGCATGAACAAAGGAGTTAATGAGTTCATGCTAGGCTAGTTTTAGAACCCAGCAGAGTGTCACTCGTGGTGTGTAGGGAGGTGTGGATAGAAGCAGGGGAGGTGTGTGAACATTCCCTTCACGCTCAGATCAGAGGGCACTTGTTCTTCAGGTGACTTCTTTTTTTTTTTTTTTTGCTTTTATATCAACTTTATTCTCAAAGCAACTGTGTGGTTAACAAACAAACCCTCACATTGCCAACTGTTGTCGGAATCATATTCCTTCTTACATGTACCAAAATCTCATAGCAGTGAGGTCTGGGTTGCCAAGGAGGATTTACTGTTTGCATCTGTCTCTAAGGCTTTGTTACAAATTAAAGAAAGACATACACGCACACACACACACACACACACACACACACACACACACACACACAAGTGCTTATGGATGACGTATTTTATAACATACCTTTAATGAGTAGATCTACATGAGACAGCGTCCTTCTGCACCTGGTAAACTCATGTCAGATTTACATTAGAGCTTACCCCACCATACTGGAACAAGTCATATTAGCAATTCAAGAACTTGTGTGTCTGTATATGTACATATGTCTATGTCATCTATATCTCTCCAATCTATATTATTTGCTAAGACATTCTTGTCTGTGTTGAGGTTATCATTCTGAAAGATGTCTCTAGCATTTAAAGATCTTTTCAAATCACTTTTATCCTTTTTAAAAATTATCTTTAAATAGTTATACAAAGGAATTGCCTTTTAACACAGCAGGTTATGAGTACAATATATCAGCTCTATTACTTTTTTTTATAAATATTTTGCTGCAATTGTAGAGGTGATATAAAGAGGGATTATAGTTACACGAGTCAGGTAATGAGTACAATTTTTTTGAACCCTGTCTCCCCTTACCTAGTGCTCTCCCAGTGTTTTCCTCTCGTCTCCACTTACAAGATACACAGTTCATTTTCAACATAGTGTCTAGTGAGTACCAGTGTTTGTTCCAAGAATAATGGTTATGCACACACACACATGCACACTCACACATACACGGGGACCTGATAAAATACATAGGTCTCTAGACATTCACACATTTGAGGCGAAAGTAGGGTTTGCATGGGAATGGATTACAAAGCCTCACCAGCTTTTATGAAGTGAAGTCTCAAAAAAGGCAAGGAGATTTTCCTTTTTTAATAGCTCTGTTCCTTTTTGCTCCTCAGGTCCTCCCTTTACTTTTCTTCTGATATGCCTGTAGGTGTCACCCACAGCTCAGGATTGCTCTGCCATCCCATTTGAAGTGATGCCGTTTGGTGTGAGAAGCCCTCTCTGTGTGTCTGGTAATCTACGTAGATGCTCCTCCTGTCACCCTTGGTGACTGGGTTTTGAAGTCATTTTGAAAGCAGCAAGGATTACAGGCATGAGCCATAGTGCCTGGCACACACATGAATTTTGATCTGGGAGGGAGTGCACACAGGATAAGGATAGGTGAAGTCAAAGTGTGTGAATAGTACAAGGAAGAAGGAGTTATCTAAGCTTTGTCTTACAATGGGTGTGTGCGTGTGCACGCGTGTGTGTGCTTGTACTGAGGCTTGAACTCAGGGTCTCTCATTCTCACTTGACTTTTTCCACTTATGTCTGGCACTCTACCACTTGAGCCACACCTTCACTTCCAGGTTTTGTTTATTAACTGGAAATAAAGCATTTTGAATATCTGTCTTCCCATGCTGGCTCTGAACCCGTATCTTCATTTCTCAGCCTCCTGACAGTAAGCTCCTTTGGTCACAGCCTAGGCCTCTGTCCATGTTCCTGCACCAGTGTACACCTTCAGAGGAGATACAGCTTTCACGAGGCCAGCTTTGGTTCATGAACCAGGGGAGTCCAATCTGTGTCCAACAGGATGCTTTCTGAGGAAAGCCTCGGAGACCTGGTTCTTAGGGAATGGAGACTGGAAAGGGAAGAATGTGATAAGAAATGTCGTATGTGAAATCTGATTCCTGCTGAGTAGCTTGGGTATCTCCACACTGACAAGCACGCGTGTTTGCATATGAGCGTGTGTGTGCGTGTGAGCAGGTGGGGGCTGACGCTTGCTGCCTCCTCCGACTTCTGTCTGAGATTCATTTGGAGGGAGGATGGCTGGTATTTGAACTCAGGTACTCAGCTCTCTCGGCTTCTTACTCAGCTGGTCTCTACCTCATACATCTAACTCTGTTCTTTTCTGATTATTTTATAGATAGTGTCTCATGGACTTTTCTGCCCTAGCTGACATCAAACCATAAACCTCTACATCTCAGACTTAGTAGTTAGAATTACAGACGTGCCACAAGGGCTCTGTTTGTAAGATTCTTATCCCAATTTGGGAACAGATTTTACTTTCCTCCTTCATTTGTTTTTTATTTTTTTTTGGTCACAAAATTTCCCTTTGCAGCCCAGACTGATGTCAAACTAGCTGTTTTCCTGCCCTAACCTCCTGAGTGCTGGGATTACAGGTGTGTGCTCCCCTGCTGATATTTCTAGGCTTTCATGAATGTACACAGGGAACCGCTCGAGTCTAACATACTGAGCTGTGGGAGACTTTGTGGACTTGCACATTATGTAGATGCAGCTTCTAGTTCTGTTTTATTTTCTTATCAGCTTTTGCACTTGGAACAAGCCACAAATTTGTCCAGGTAAGCCTCAGTGTTCTTAATACTGCAGTACTCTACTAGAATGTTCTTTATGTTAACTGAAGCAATGTTAGCTTTACATCCCTTAGGAATGAAAGAAAGCAAATTTGTAGGTTATCCAATAACATAATGAACAAGATTTTATTTTATTCTTTTTGTGCTCTCTTAATACTAGCAGTAAAGCAAATCAGGTTTTCAATTTTCTGTTGATGTGGTTTTTTTTTACAATTTAGCTCAATTTTAATGTTTCCCAAGCATTATTTTGACCAAGTACCCAAGTTATGAACATTGACAGTGTCCATTTATATAACCACACTTGATGTTAATAAGACTTAACCATTTTCTAATATAAGCCTATTTTCTACACTGCTTATTCACATATGCCCATTAACAATGGAATGTTGTCTTGATACATTTATTGGTTTGAGTGTTTTCTGGAAAACTTCAGTATCTGTGAAGACCGATTTCCATGCTGGCATTGCATGCATCCAAATATTCATAATGTACAGAATTAGAGCAACAAGAGAGCATATTCAAACACTAGTATGTCCCATTCCCCTTTTTATTGCTTGTTTTGCTTAGTACTTTAAAAACCACGTAAAAATCTTGAATTCAATGTTCACTGTCAAAGAATAACAGCAGGGCACATACTAAGGGTTTGAGTGAAATTGAAAGCACTAGCTGGCGCAAACAGTAGACATTGGTTTATATAATGTATGACCTTATTATTGAAATCTCTTCTCAACCAGTCTTCCAAACAAGATCACTAACTCATACGAACATGATTTAGATTGAAATATACACAGGAGTAACAGTGTGTTCTGTAGGAATTTAACTAAGAGATCAAAAACTACCCAAATTTCAATCCAGGCCTTTGGGAAGTGAGAAGCTTGTACTAAGCAACTGTGCTACATATCTGTTGCATTTGTTATTTTGGACAATTATATCTTATCCTTGGATTCACTCAGAAAAATGTGTAGGGTACAAACAGGAAAGCATGCCAGCCAGTTAAGGATTTGACAATGAAGTGTCTTTTTATTCTCTTGCTCTGAAAACTTGCATGGAGAAATTAAACCAAGGAAAAGGAGTAATGTGTGGAGTGGTATTTATTTAGTTGGTGTTCAAGGTGTGGACGTGTAATATGCAGACATCTACAGCGGCCCATCGGGAGGAGTGCTGAAAATGGGTTTGATTTGAGTCACCTTGTCAGTTGAGAAACAATATCATACAGTATCAGAAACATAGAAGCCAGACCCCCCGAGGGAAGGCAAGAGACATGCCACTTGCTCACTTGCACAAAACCCAATTTTCTGTGCAATCCCTGGTGCGTTAGAAAAAATAAAATGTAGAGGAGGTGTTGAAGGGAGTCTCCCGATGCCTTTCATTCGCTACTAAGGAGGGGGCCGACTCGCCCTGGCTACGCACATGAGAGCAACCATTCCTACCTCTCTATGCAGTGACGTAGTATGATTGCACGGCATGCTAAATGACAGTTGGAGGCCTGAAGGATCACTTGATCCTTTGCATGATCCCAAATTTGGATTGCTGTATTCATAGAAGGTCAGACAATGCCAGGG